TATTAAATTATTATTTTTTTTATTAATTTTTTTTTATTTATACAAATAAAATATTTTTTTTAAATTTAAATTCATATTGTGGAACATTTCAATTTTATCATTTTTACAAATTACCTTCTTGCTACGTAACGACATAATTCCTTACATACCAATAATTAGACAATTTTCATTATTTCTAAAAATTTTAAACTTTACGTTAATAAAAAAAAAGAATATTTTTTATTGCATATGAACATCATTACACAGCTTTCATATCAGTTTCTAAAATTCCTAAATCACGCTATATTCTGTGCAGGCATGCTAGAATTCTACGCATTAATAAATAAAAAAATCTAATTTCTCAGAATGAAAGAAAATAATATAATAAAATAAATACTACAAACTTGGAACACTAAGCAATGCTTCACATACGCACACACACACATATTATCAATGAACTCATATTATCAGTTGCAATTACGATACCAAACACTACGTATTAAAATATGAGGTAAACGTTACTTCAAGCGTTAAAGTTTACAGTTTTTGCTACTGTTGAGTCGATCGTCGGACTATCCATATATATCGTAAATCGGAAAGCGTTATAAAAACATATCAAAAAACAAAAAATTAAAATTACAATTTAAATGAAAAATTGTGTCTTAAATATAATTCACAACTTAAACAACAATACAAATTTAAAATACACAAACGATATGTTAAACATTGCACATAAATAAAGTCACATTACTCCTCGACATCACACACAACCTCGTTTTCCCTTTTACACAACGATCAGTATTCGCTCGAAAAACATTAAAGAATTCCACAAACTCGGTGTCCTTGCGCTCATTTATCTATTTTCACTTAAAGAAAAATCAGACAATTGCTCAAACTAGGCATTGCGCACCACATTGGCTTTGCCCATGTGCACATCGATATTTTCACTTAAAAAAAACATCCCAGAGTTGCACAAACTCGGCATTGCGCACCAACATTGGCATTTGCGCACATGTGCACATCGATCTATTTTCACTTAAAAAAACATCCCAGAATTGCACAAACTCGGCATCGCGCACAACCTCGGCATTGCGCACCACATTGGCTTTGCCCATGTACACATCGATCTATTTTCACTTAAAAAAATCCCAGAATTGCACAAAATCGGCATTGCGCACCACACTGGCTTTGCCCATGTGCACATCGATCTATTTTCACTTTAAAAAAACATCCCAGAATTGCACAAACTCGGCATCGCGCACAGCATTGGCTTTGCCCATGTGCACATTGATCAATTTTCACTTAAAAACATCTCAGAGTTGCACAAACTCGGCACTGCGCACCACTCAAAATCGTCTATACGTGTCTCTAAACCGTCTCTCTACTAGTTTCATATTTGTTCCACAAATTGGGCACTTATACGATATTGCAATCAAACTTTTCTCACCGCTCAATAACGCTCTTTTTGCCTCTTCGCTCCAACTGATTAAAAAAATCCAGATTCAGATACTCATCCATTCTGCAGTAAGCACCGATTTTAACACACTCATCAATAATCAAAACATTCTGTAAGCAAAAGAATTATTTTCTGTATTTTCAGAAGCTACGGTTATAATTTTTAATTCATGCATTTAATATTTTCAGTCGTTTCCTAATGATCGTTTTCAATCGTTTGGTATCTTAATAATACATTTGTGAGAGATAATTCGTTGCGTTAAATACTAACACTACCACACAACACACAAAAGTAGATTTATAATTAAAAAAATCTCGCGCAGAACATTATAAACCTACCATTTCAACTCAGTTAAAATATAATTTAAGTTTTTTTTAAATACGAAGCTATAGCATATTTATAACTTGTTTTTAAGAAGAGGCGTAACCAATATTACGTCATAAAAAGGCGTGTCCAAGCATAAGAGAAGTAAACACAGCATCGACTGATGCAGCCTATTCTGCGATCTAGCCTAGAAGAGAAACCTCACATGTGTGAAGTATGTAAGAAGGTGTTTAGTTGAAAGGATACTTTAAACAAGCATATAGTTCTTCACACAGGAGAGAAGAAAATGCTTAGTAGAAAAGATACTTTAAATGAGCATATGCTTATTCACACAGGTGAGAAACCTTATATGTGTGAGATATGTAAGATATCATTTAATCAAAAAACTACTTTAAACAGGCATATGCTTATTCACACAGGAGAGAAACCTCACATGTGTGAAATATGTAAGAAATCATTTACTCGAAAAAATATTTTAAACAAGCATATGCATATTCACACAGGAGAGAAACCTTATAGTATTATATGTGAAGTATGTAACACAATGTTTAGCGAAAATGGTACATTAAAGAAGCATATGCGTATTCACACAGGAGAGAAACCTTATATGTGTGAAGTATGTAAGAAGACGTTTAGTGAAAAGGGTACTTTAAACCAGCATATGCTGATTCACACTGGAGAGAAACCACACACGTGTGAAGTATGCAAGAAGATGTTTAGTGTAAAAGCTAATTTAAACAAGCATATGCTTATTCACACAGGAGAGAAACCTTATATGTGTGAAATATGTAAAACGACGTTTAGGGTGAAAGGTACTTTAAACAGGCATATGCTTATTCACACAGGAGAAAAACCATATATGTGTGAAGTATGCAAGAAGATGTTTCGTCTAAAGAGTCATTTAAACAACCATATGCCTATTCACACAGCAGAAAAACCTCACATGTGTGAAGTATGCAAGAACGTGTTTAGAAGAAAGGATACTTTAAACAAGCATATGCTACTTCACACAGAAGAGAACCCTTATATGTGTGATGTATGTAAGAAGATGCTTAGTACAAAAGATACTTTAAATGAGCATATGCTTTTTCACACAGGTGAGAAACCTTATATGTGTCAAGTATATAAGATATCATTTAAGCAAAACACTACTTTAAAAAGGCATATGCTTATTCACACAGAGATACCTCACATGTGTGAAATATATAAGAAATCATTTAATCGAAAAAATACTTTAAACAAGCATATGCATATTCACACAGGAGAAAAATCTTATAGTATTATATGTGAAGTGTGTAAGAAGATGTTTAGCAAAAATGGTATTTTAAAGAAGCATATGCGTATTCACACAGGAGAGAAACCTTATATGTGTGAAGTATGTAAGAAGACATTTAGTGAAAAGGGTGCTTTAAACCAGCATATGCTTATTCACACAGGAGAGAAACCTCACATATGTAAAGTATGCAAGAAGATGTTTAATGTAAAAGCTAATTTAAACAAGCATATGCTTATTCACACAGGAGAGAAACCCTATAAGTGTGAAGTATGTAAGATGAGGTTTAGGGTAAAATGTACTTTAAACAGGCATATGCTTATTCACACAGGAGAGAAACCTCACATGTGTGAAGTATGTAAGAAATCATTTAATCGAAAATGTTCATTAAACATGCATATGTGTATTCACACAAGAGAGAAACCTTAAATGTGTGAAGTATGTAGGAACACGTTTAGTGAAAAGGGTAGTTTAAATAGGCGTATGCTTATTCACACATGTGAGAAACCTTATATGTGTGAAGTATACAAGACGTTTTGTGTAAAGAGTCATTTAAACAACCGTATGCTTATTCACACAGCAGAGAAACCTCACATGTTTGAAGTATGTAAAAAATGTTTAGTGAAAAGTGTTCTTTAAACAATCATATGCTTCTTCACACAGGAGAGAATCCTTGCATGTGTGAAAGTATGTAGGTAGATGTTTAGTAGAAAGGATACTTTAAATGAGCATATGCGTATTCGCATAGATGAGAAACCTTATATGTGTGAAGTATGTAAAATATATTTAATCAAAAAATTACTTTAAACAAGCATAGGCGTATTCTCACAGGAGAGAATCCTCACGTGTGAAGTATGTAAGAAGTCATTTAATCGAAAAATTAATTTAAACAATCATAGGTTTATAAAGCACAGGAGAGAAATTTATAGTATGTAAGTAGATGCTTATCGAAATCGAACTTTACAGAACTATATGCGTATTCACACAGGATAGAAACCTTATATATGTAAAGTATCTAAGAAAATGTTCAGTGGAAAGGGTAGTTTAAGGAAGCACATGATTATTCACAGTGGAGAGAAAATTTTTATGTGTGGTATTTAAATACTCATTAATTTGCATAAAGATGATTTAAATATCGATATCATTCTAAGAGACTAATGTTACGAGTTACGTATGTAACAAATCATTAACAGCGATAAGGAAGTTGAAGAAATATATATTTTATCTATACAGAAGAGATACCTCCTGTGTTTTGAATATGTATTGAAAACAACTTTTACTTAACCTTTGCAGTAAGCACTTCTGTGTGTAGCTGGGAAAACCTCAATATTTGAGGTCAAGTCTGGATTTTTCTCATCGGTTAACAAAATTTAAATACAATAAAATTTTTAGAATTTTGAGAGGCAAATCTGAATAGCATACAGCCCATTAGTGACCCTGTGGGACAAACATAAATTCTCATTTGATGAAAATAAGTTATAAATTATTTATTCCCATAATATGAAACATTTTTCAAGATATTTTTGCATGATAATAAATGTTCAGTGTTTATATCTGGTGCGTAATGAATTGCGGATAATTTCAAAAACAAAAATTCTATAAGGTAGCTAAATGTTTAATTGAATATCTGTGCAGTAAATTATATGTGTTTTATGTTAAACTTAACTGTGTCTGAATTTTGTACTTTTATGAATTACAGCTGGGCTAGTACATATAGAAATGTCATTCTTGGTGCCTGTCATGAAAAATGTATTTGCTATTTCCATTTGTCATGAAAAAGTACTGAAGACCATGCCTATCCGGCTTTAGTATCAAATGTGTCAGTGTATAACATTTGTGAAATCAGTGCAATGTTAGAAAGGTGAAATGAAATTTCAGACATTTTCAGTCAAATCTTGGACATATCAAATTGAGCAATCACATGTATATAATGCATATAAGAAGAAATTTGGCAAACATCATTTCTCTGCAGGTAAGAAATCTTTGTATAATAGATATTTATTTTGAAACCTGTTTTCTTCCGCAAAGGATCCGTTGGCGCCGATGCGTATTTATCCGCCAAGCTCGCCAATGGCTAATCGGCCATGATTTTAGTAATCTATAGTTAAGTTGCAAGATATTTATCATATGGAAGCCATGATTTTTAGCAGTGTACAGTCAAGTTATAAGATATTTAGCATGTAGAAGTAAAATGAATAGGTTAATAATGACATTTAGCGGTGTATAGTTAACCCGGGAGGACACGCACTGTATTATGTAACACGAGAACGTGGGTCGCAATTAAATGACATACAAATGAACCATATTATTACAGTTCAGTAAAATAATGCATTCTGTATTAATTGCAACGTTTACACTGGTTCCCAAAAGTGTTCGTACACTTATGATTTTCATTGAAATAGGGCTCTATCCATTAATTAAAAGTCAATTTTCTGAATGAGATTTTAATAATAAGATCTATAATCTATTCATAACAAAATTACATGAAATATTTGATTTTTTAAATAAAGCGAAACTTTATTTTTAAGAAATTAATAATCAAAAAATGATAAACATTTTATCTCGCAAAAGTCTTCGTACACTGAAATATTTTTGGATAAAGTCAAAATTAGAATTACCGTTTGCCACTTTTTTTTTTAATTTTTGCATTGTGGTGGCATTTAAAAAATCATTTGCTTTAATTTTTTTTTTTTTTTTTGTTTACTTCATAATATTCTATTTATTATTGAAAAATGGGTCGCAGTCGTAAGGAAATTACAAACAGCATTCGAAAATTGATAATTTTTCACCACAGTAGTGTTAAATCAATTCGAAATATTGCGAAATTAATTAATTTATCCCATTCTACAGTGCAATATGTGATAAAATGCTTTAAAAAAGAAAATCGGGTTGAAAACAAGGTAAAATGTTGACCGAGAAAGTTAACTAAATGTGATAAGAGATTTATTATTAGAAAATTTGTGAAATACCCACATTTGAGTGCTGTAAAAGTTTGTGCAGAATTTAATGCAAAGTTTTCTACTTCAATTTCACTTTAAACTGTTTGACAAGTTCTCAGAGAAGCTGGATTACGTGGGCGTTCTGCCCGTAAAAAAAATTTTGTTATTGAAAAAAACAGAAAGCTTAGGCATTCATTCACAAAATCAATGAGAAATACACCCGAAACATACTGGAATAATGTCCTATTTGCTGATGAAAGCAAATTTAACATTTTTCGTTCCGATGGTTGAATAACTGTATGGAGAAGAAGGAACTACTCTGATATGCGCCCTCAAGACGCCAAATTTCTCGCCAAATATTTTTGGCGAGAAACTTCACGCTGCCATATTACTATCTAAAGTTTTTTGTTTACATTTCGAACTTTTAGCCTAAAATGTCTCCAAAAACGCGGTTTTCGCACATGTAAAAACTACGTTTTGAACACACAATTTACCTAAAAATCCGAAACAAAAACAAAAATTTAGATAGCAAAAACGTAAAGTTTCTCACCAAAAATATTTGACAAGAATCCATGTACACAGCGACATGTTTTAACTTAAAAAAACATCTACGAATGGCACATATAGGCAATGAACGAATCTACAAACTATGCACACCTCGCTTTAATAAATTAACATAACAACAATAAATTTCAAAGAAGACCATGTACACAGCATCCTGTTTAAACTTTAAAAAAAATCTACGAATTGCACAATTTAGGCAAGGAAGAAATCTACGATCTACTCACTCCTCGCTTTAATAAAATAACATAACAACAATAAATTTCAAATAATACCATGTACACAGCGTTCTATTTCAACTTTGAAAAACATCTACGAATTGCACTGTCTAGACACTAAGCAACAAAATAAAACTAAAATAAATTTCAAACAATTTAAAAAACAACAATAACGACAGAAATTCATACTAAAGAACCAATGAACATAACATTCTACAAAATAAGAACAAGGATAAAATAAAATGCACTTACCATGAATTAACACGTTTTTGAATAGCAAATATCAATTTCATACCGCCTTTAACATGCCGCCACGTCTTCACTATCGTATTTACATGACAGCCAGACACACTATCCAGAAAATTTATACTATGGTTCACAAATAAATAAAATCACAAATCCCTACTTCTATCATGCACTGCCATTAAAAATAATCTCCCAGACCCTCTTTTCACACTTCCAAATACCCACTACTCACTACAGGATAGCCACAATGATATTTCCTTTTGCCGAACTTCAATTCAACAACTACCATTTTATCTTTCCCTTTCCATCTTCTCAGACACAGAGGCGAATCAACAAGCTCCAGCGAAAGTTTTTCAACGTCGACAGGGTTGCCATGGAAAACGCAATCGTGCCAAAAACCAGCGCAGAACACATATCGCCACATTTGGTGAAATTAGGGCGTATATTAGTTTTGTGCCGAGAAGAAAAAATGAGGAACTTCATTCTAAGAACTTAGTTGGAACAGTTAACCCCTTCGCGCCGACTGTCACGTATACGTGCCAGCAACGAATGCACTTATCTACCGGCCGACACGCAGGCGTGCCAGACGATTGTTGCGTTTTCTACCGAATGTCATGTATTTGTGCCAGTACCTTGGAACGTTTTTCACACTATAATTTCTGCCACAAGATAGCACTATATGCCCATATGGTTTCAGATACATGTACATTAGACTTTCTACTCGAGAAGCATGACTCACATACACGTGTTTTTGATTATATAAACAAACGGGGAACTAAATGTTTCCGAATGGCGTGATTTATGACGTCTCTTTAAATCGCACTTTATTCGCACATAGTAGTTGTTTATTGTAAGTAGAAGTTTTATATGCACTAAAGCGTTGAGTATTTCGGTTTACAGTTCAGTTTTTAGAAAATAATTAGATCTTGTTAGACATGAATTCTTTCTGCTTTTACCGTTTCAGTGTCGAAGCATCGAAAATGTTTAACAGAGCATGAAATAGCAGAAATGATGCAAAATATTTCAGATATTGATTCTGAAATTCGGATATTCTGATATTGATTCTGAAAGATTAACTGAAAGACATTTTCCAAAACTTTGTTCAGAAGAGACTGATAAGAAAATGAGATGATGACGCTTCGTTTGTTCACATTTCCGGAAAAATCCTCCAAAACGGCAAATGAGTTATTATGAGTTCAAGGAATGTAACGTAGGACTGTGTGTAGATCCCTGTTTTAAAATTTTTCATACGAAAAGAGAATTTTAAGTAATATATTTAGTTTTCAGATGTATAATGTTAAAAGTCATAAAATGGTGAGTAATTAAAATAAAATGTGTAAAATATGCATTTAGACAAGAAATAAGGTAATTAAAGTATATATATATAAATATCTATAAAGCATAAGCCGTTTAAATACTCTATAGAGCATTATTAAACAATGCGTTGATACTTTGGAAATTTCATGGATTTAGGCTTAGTAGCAAAAAAGCCCCCGGCCCTGGAGAGACGCTCGCGGAAGACACTGCCGGCCTCCGCGATAAGCGCGCGTTTTGCTACCAGGCTCGAAGTTGTTAAGCATGGCGGTGTAGGTGTTCTTGTGTGGGGGGGGATGATATGACAGCATCAGGACTAGGTAATTTGGTATTTATTGATGGCATAATGAATCATTCTCTTTATTTAAATATTTTAAGAGACAATTTAAAATTATAAGCCCAAAATTTGGGTATTGGAAACAACTTTATTTTTAATCATGATAACGATTCTAAGTATAAAGCTCTCAGCGTTCGCCTGTAGTGTCTCTATAATTGTCCACAGGTTTTGAAAGCACCACCTCAGTCGCCAGATTTAAACACCATAGAACACATTTGGAAAGAGCTGGAGTTTAAAGTACAAAAACACGACATCAAAATGAAAAGCGAACTCAAAACAGCCATGATGGAAGAATGCATGAACATTGATACAGAAATTACAATAAAACTTATAATATCTATTCCCAGATGTTTAAAAGCTGCTTTGGATGCTAAAGGGTATCATACTAATATTAATTGAACGAAAAATGAAAATATTTAATAATATGTCAAGATTTTTTTGAAGTGTACGAAGACTTTTGTGAGATAAAATGTTTGTCATTTTTTGATTATTATTTCCTTAAAAATAAAGTTTCGCTTATTTTAAATATATTACATGTCATTTTGTTACGAATAGATTATAGTTTCTTATTATTAAAATCTGATTCAGAAAGTTTACTTTTAATTAATGGATAGAGCCCTATTTCAATGAAAATCATAAGTGTAAGAACACTTTTGGGAGCCACTGTATTATATAAAATAGATTAAAATTAATAACAAATAAATCAGAAGTACTTACGTTTTCTTCAGATGACTAGAAATCACTGATTTCAATGAGAAATTTATGTTTTTTATTTTTGAATGCAACTATAATCCAAATTATGCAGAATTATTACATGGACAATGAGTTATATAATTAATTTTCTATTAAGCTCATGAAGAATTAGATATTTTGTAGTTTATACATGAAGCTTCTATTTCACAGTGTTCTTCATATATTTTTTTTACACTTCACACATACAGTTTTTGATATTCTGTCTTTTCCCTTGAGCACATGTAACACCTCCGGTAACATAATTTTCTTTTCTTTCTTTGCGAATCTTCATTGTATTCCTTCTGTTTCTGTTAGGATTTCAAATGAGGATCTAAAAGTGCAAAGGCCGAATCAGAAGAAGCTCCTATTCCTGAACTTCTCTGGTGAAGTTTTAGTAGATAAAAGCAAGATCCTTGAATTTATGCCAGCAATATTTAATAGCAAAAAAAAAAAAAAAAAAAATATGCCCATAGGTTATCGGTTTGATATTCTGGCCACAGAATAAGTGCCACCCATTTTCATCGACTATATCAGCTGCTCCTTTTGTCATGTTATAAAACGTAATTACTTCAGATTTCTTGAAATCTCCTGTGCTTTCATCAATATGTTCGCCATTGTGCATAGT